AATAAAGGGTTTCTGCTTTAAGCCATCTTGACAGCATAGCACAGAAGTTGTGGTATCATCACTCCTTCAGCGGAAACATCTAAATTTGGGTGCCTGTTTTGGAAAAAGACTCTTGAAATGTTAACCCTTGTCTGTACTGTATTTAGACTAGGCATTGCTGGGAGGGTTTGCCAGACAGGCGGCCAGGAAATCTGCTGGAGGAGGTCGGGCAGCTTGTCACAGTGGCTGGAAAACCTTCTCTCATCTTCTCGTTAACTCTGTTGTATCTTTTCCTTCTTTGAAATTTACTTAGCTTATTAAATGACATGCAGACACCAGGTAGATTTTGAAAAATATTTAGTCTCCCTAAAGTATATTGACTCTGTCTCCAAAATACCAGGCTTCTCTTGGTATTTTCACATGATAACTTTTTAAAAATTAGTTAATGTATTTATTTAAATGGAGGTCCTGAGGACTGAACCTAAGACCTCGTGCAGGGTAAACACACTGTCTACCACTGAGCTGTCCCTCCCCTCATGGGTAACTTTTTAAAGATACAATAATAATTGTCCATTTTAACATCAGTATTTTATTACTATCCACATAAATTTGAACCACTATGTATGTTGATTAAATTTGCAATTTTGTAAGTCTAGCCTCTGGTGTAAAGGAATAATAGAAAGATCTACTGAAAGTACATTCTTAAGTATGTGTGCATTACGAAAGTGAAGTTTATGTAACTTTTGAATAATGGCACTTGGTATCGGCTTGTGGTCTCTCAGTGCACAGCCACGTGTGGACAGGGCTATCAGATGCGTGCCGTCAAATGTGTCAACGAGCTACTCAGTGCGGTGTTAGATGACCGGCTGTGCCACGGAGCTGGTCGCCCCAGCGACAGGCAGGTAAAGGATGCCTCTCCATGGATTGGAAACAAAACTTTTTCATATGGGAGGGTTATTGATAGGTTAAAATTATTTCCATATGTAGTTTTTCCACTTGCATTTGGATGCCTTAACATGTATGTGCACACCAGAGAGTTTATTGTTCTTGGTTTTTGCCAGCTTCACTGATGAGTTTTTTTTTTTACTCTTTATCAACCATCGGATCACTCATTTAATGTACATTTCCATCCTTTGAACTGCAGAAGGGTGCTATGTGTTATAGATATCGTGAGCTTCTAAAGTGTGTCGTGCTGCTTGAAGTAGTATGCTGTGTTCGTTCAGAATGGCTCAGCTTAGTGGTGTTTTTGAAAGACTATTCCTGTTTTCTTTTTCAACCGTCAGATAGAAGGGATCCACACTTTACCCTTCAGAGTCATGAGGTCCCCTTGGATCGCTTATTTGTGATTTAGTATGTCACTGTTCGTAAGTTCTCTATGTGGAAGAAGAAGTGAAGTGTAGGAATTAGTATGACTCAGAGTGGTTAATTCATTGATGCTTTATGAGATCCGTTTTTCTTTTGAACAGGTCTGTACAGTTACACCTTGCCCGATCATCCCTAAAATTGGGGCCACTTCATTACCAGCTGCTCCCATGGGGAAGACAGCACAGTGGCGATATGGTTCTTGGACCCCAGTAAGTGAATTCCTTTAAGAGGTACAGGTTTTCTATTATGGAGGCTTTCAGACATCAACCAAGTGGTTGCTACAGATTTGCCAAATGTATGTGTTCATTCTCAGGTATTTTGATGGTGTGGAAAGAGCATAAGGTTTAGAATTAGGTAGTTTAATGGCTAAATCCTGTTCTGCCTTTTAAGAGCTCTGTGTCTTTGGGCAAGAAATGTATTTTTCTAGGTCTATGTTCTAATCCACCAACTGGGGATAATAATATTTATGTCACAGGTGGTCATGAGAAGCAGCTGTGATATTAGGCTTTTAATCAGCCTTTATTTAAACTACCACATATTCATGTTGTTTTTCTAAACTGAAGGCTTTAATCTATTTGAAGTGTATACTTGAGTTAGTCTTACGAATGATATATTTTTAAGTTTCATGTATTCTCTGACTATTTTAAATATGAACTCAGATCTACTCAAGTACCTAGGTCTTTCAAAATTATCTTAAGTGATATCTTAGATTCTCATATAAAATGTTTTTTGTTTCTTTAATTTTGGCAAATAACTAATCACTGTTCCCAGGAGTTGAGTGTTTTGTTTTATGATCACAAATATCTGATTTGTGAAATTTATTTTCTAAACACATTGGGATAGTCAAACTGCCCTGACTTTGACTCAGAAGTGATGCCAGGTAATAGTATTTATAATTTAAGGGTTTTTTTTTTTGAGAAACCTGATGGTTAGAAATTTGAACAGCAGCTAAGGGCTGTGGGAGTGTGCTATATAAGACTTCAGTATTATTCCGTTTTTTCAGTGTTCTGTGTCTTGTGGAAGAGGTAGTCAAGCCCGCTATGTAAGCTGTCGTGATGCACACGATGGAATAGCAGATGAATCCTACTGTGCCCATGTGCCCCGACCTGCTGAAACATCAACCTGTTTTAGCCCTTGTGGAGAATGGCAAATGGGCAACTGGTCACCTGTAAGTATTTTTATGAGAAAAAAAAGAAAAGAAATGAAAATTTAATATAATATTTGACATGTAACAGAATGTAGTGTATCCCATTATAAATATTGGCTAAATTTGTGATCAGTGTTCAGCTTCCTGTGGCCACGGAAAAACAACTCGGCAAGTTTTATGCGTCAGCTATCATCAGCCAGTTAATGAGAATTACTGTGACCCTGAAGTTCGCCCTTTGATAGAACAAGAATGTCACCTGGCAGCCTGCCCGCCCACGTTCAGCCACTTTCCGAGTTCCTCTGAGCAGCCAAGCCATTTTCCAGGCAGGAATTTTCCGTTAACTCACAAACCAGAAGATAATCAAAATCAGGGGGTCCACCCATCACTCAGAGGAAACCAGTGGAGAACAGGACCCTGGGGATCAGTAAGCCCTCTTTATTGAGTTATACTAATTCTGTAATTTTGTTACGTGTCTAGCCTTTTAACAGATATGTCTGTAATGGCATCAGGTGCTTTTAATGCTAAATTTTTCTGAAGATCAATAGTTTAAATTTTAAAAGGATTAAGCAAGATTTTTGATGCAGATTACAAATCCCCAGAGTTCTTACTGAATTGTACACTAATGTGGGATTATGATTACAGAGGAATGCACCTGAAAACAATCTTAGAGTCCATTATAGTAAAAATAAAATCGTTTAAGAGTTGAAAGACTACAAGTGTTTATGAAGGAAAATTCAGACCCAGAGATTACACATAGCAGTGCAGTAACCTGGTGTAAGATCATGATTACTACAAAAGGTTCAATTGTGGTTTATATCTTACATGAGATTAATGATGCAAAAGAAAAAAAAAACAATGTAACAGTAATTTAACATTATCTTTTGTTTTTTTATTCCTTCCTGGTGAGACCTTAAAAACCTGATTCCTTTTTACCAAACACTTAGGACAAGGGTGAGTTTCCTGCGGCAAGCTTTAAAACGTCACCTTTTCATCAACACATCCTAATGAAACCCCTAGTAAAACTAATGTTTTTTGACAGATTTTTCTCGATTGCACTTAGGGTTCCCACGAGGGGGACTGTAACGTGGAGAGTTTGAATTTGAGCCAGAGTCTTGGTCTGTTCTGTTTGTTTCCCGCGGTGCGATGCTGGGGCGGGGAACCTGCAGCGCCTGCGTGTCTGTGTTGTGTCCTTGGCAGTGCTCCAGCAGCTGCGCCGGGGGCGTGCAGCGCAGAGTCGTGGTCTGCCAGGACGAAAACGGACACAGCGCCAGCCACTGCGCCGCGGCCTCCAAACCCCCAGAGGCAAAGCACTGTGATTCCGGACCTTGTCCTCGGTGGAGCTATGGAAGCTGGGGTGAAGTAAGTCAGAATATTGCCTTCACTTAGGGAGGTTCTCACACCTCTGAAGACCGACAGTTAAGCACTTCCTACTGTTACTGTTAGTGAGGTAGTCTTACTTCACTGTGCTATAACAGAAAGATTTTTTGTGTTTGGGTCAGTAAAACTATATTCTTTTACTTGATACTGTGTCATGGTATAAATCACTCATTCATTATAGGAAATATGTACTCCAGGTTGTTAACAGAGTCAATATGCTAGCCAGTATGTCTGTGATCTACTAACATCTCTCTAAAATTAGTACATTACATTTTAATTTCTTAGAAAATCAAATTGATATAAAGCTAGCGAATTAGAGTCATATACAGGCCATGTTCATATCCTACTACTGAATCATTCATTTGGTGAATCTTCCAAATGGACAGCTGTCAATTATTAGGTCCTGGTATTATTTTAGGCACTGGGAATATAAAGATAATTTTTTAAACGGTTATAATAAATACTAATTCCACCGATGTATGGATGAGAAAGAAGAAAGACTTACATTAGTTTTGGATGAATAAAACAGACCACCTAATTTAATTAGTCAAATATTTTTGCTTAATGAATTTTCAGTGCACATTTTCCCTCCATAGAGAAATTAGAAGTCATTGTTGACAGATCTCCTTCTGCCCAGGTGCTAATAAAGATCAAGTATATTTTTTAAATGGACTTTTACTACTTTCCAAAATGAAAGTAACTTTTTCATTTCTGAGTTAAATCTCATGGCAAAAATTTAAATAATATAAAAAATTATGAAAAGAAAAGAACTTTTTTGACATTTTGATACATTTTCTACCAGACTGTTATTTTATGTGGGTGCCAGAAATAGCCTCGTATTATACACACTGCTTTGCCCCCCGCTGTTTTCCTGTAACGTCTACTGAGCATCTTCCTATGTGTATAAATTTAGATCTCCCTTATTAACTTTCGTGGCCACATGGTCATCTTTCGATCGGATACCATACATTATGTACTTGATACCTATTACAGTGCTCATTCTCAAAATTTTGTCTTTTTAAAAAATTATGAAACTAAAACTTTGATTTTTTTTTCTTTTACCCAGGAAGAAATGTTGAGAATTATGAAGAAAGGATAAACTTTAAGCTCTAGCAATACTGATGATGTATTCAACATTGAATAAAGCAATACGATATTTTCTTTGACACCACATAGTTTTGATTTTTCTTCTTATTTTTAGTGTACCCAGACATGTGGAGGAGGAATAAAATCAAGATTCGTGATATGTCAATTTCCCAATGGCCAGATGTCACGAGAGCAAAACTGTGAAATCTTGAACAAGCCCCCTAGTGTGGCACAGTGTCACGTGCATGCTTGCCCTGACGATGTGTCATGGCATCGGGGACCATGGAAATCGGTACGATAGCGTTCTTACTTTTACCCTTCTGTTCTGTTTTGTTTTACTGTGTCCCTTTTACTTTAATTTCACCTCATAAATTGTGATGCACACATTTTCTGATTTTTTTTTAAAGCAGACCATTAGCCATCCTGGCTTGTGTTATTAAATTTGATAGTTTGGAATAAGAATCCATTCCATTTTAAGTACTGTAACATATACATATATATAATAATTTTATATGTATTTATATTTTTATAAGTGAATTTTGAACCATAGCACTATTCTTATGGAAGTATTTTTCTCCAGTGCATCTTTGGCTTGCCCAGAAATTAATCAGAAATGTTTTACTATTTACATTTGTATATAATGTTAACATTGTGCTTGTAACAATGGCAAATTAAGGCTGTGTCTTGTTTGAGTGTATAACTGTATGTGGCTTTTGTCTGTCAATGTCTAGTAACCGATTCAAAAGCAAATAACATTCTTGTTTTTATCATTGTTAAACTTAGTATTTTGTTTGGAAATGTGAAAATATTATATTAAAAAAGAGAAATTTACTTATACAAAGTAAATTAATTGTTTACAGTTTGTTACATACATCATGGAAAAGTATGATTTATATAGTAATTTATATGAATATTCATTTCTTCCACTGTGTGGAATTACTGTGTTTGGGATGTTTTAATTTTTTATTTTTTTAGAGCCATAGACAAAATTAATAAATATTCATGAATAGTTTATTTCCTGTAGCATTTTTGAAATACCCAGGCTTTGGAGACTAACTAATATATAAACATGCTGAAACTGGCATTTTAGTCATTTTTGGTATTTTCAGTCACAAACAACCAAGGGTACTTCTTCCAGGTGAAAAGCTGATTTGAGGCTATTTATAATTGCATTTATGAAGTTAAACAGTTCTTTATTTGGAAAGTAATTGATTATAACTCTGGTTTCATGACCAACCCTGATGTGTGCACTTGCTTTGCTTTGCCCAAGTCAAAGCTTTACAATAAAATGTAGACCTGTTTCAACTCATGCTAATTGAAGCAGAGGTCACGTTCTAGTCCAGACTGAAATTCATCTTTATAGTCAGTGTGACTGATAGAAAACACCAGAACATTTTAACTTTATAGGAGAATCTTAAAGTTGAATAGATGCGTTAGAGAACCATCACTATTTGGGAATTAACAAAATACATATTTTGCCATGGAAAGCATTCACATATTTACTTAACAAAATGCTCACTGGCCATCTGCCGTATACTAGCCACTGTGCTACAGATAATAAAGACAGATTTCTTGCCCCTATGGAGTTTACAGTCTAGTTGGAGAGGTATAAAATACACTAGGAACTCACTTGAAGGGTATTTTTTGTTAGTCATCTTAGATTGGAAGTTCACTTTCTCTTTACCATATCTCTGTTACATCTTCTTTCATTTTACTAGTTTAATTTGCAACACTAGTTTTTAATAAGACTTAATCCATAGATTACCTTCTTAGAATTTTGCCTCATTTAGGAAAGCAACCTAACCACCAGTAAGAGACTGAATTGTAATGGCATTTGTTTCTGAACACAGAGGTTTTATTTTTCCCTACTTATTCCTGATTTCATTAATTCACAAAGCATTAAACATTGACTTAAGTCTCTTGCTTTGTGCTAGGTATTGAAGTACCTAAAATTCAGTGTTTTTGCGTCAGATTTTTCTATTTCAGGGTTCAGCAAACTATCAAATCTGGCCTATTGCCTCTTTTTGTAAGCATATTTTGTTGGAACCCAGTCATGAATCTTTTTATGTATTATCTATAGCTGCCTTTGCACTGCAAACAAAGCAGAGTTGATAAGTTGCAATAGAGACTGGCCCTCAAAGCCTGAAATATTAGTTGTTTGGGCCTTTCTGGGGAAAGCTTGTTGACCCCTGTTCTAGTTAATAAATATTAAAACTTTTTAAAATTTAACATAAAATGTACTTAAAGTTATCGCTTATCAGAATTACAAAAATTCATTTGGAGTCAGCTTTAGACATTTTTGGTCCTTTGTTTAATATTTTAAAATAGTTTAAGGTTTATCAACCTTCCCTACATATCACTCTAGTACTCACACATTTTTTTCCCCAGCTTTGTTAAGATATATATTGTCATATAACATTGTGTAAGTTTAAGGTGTACAACGTCACATAATGTTTATCGTATTGGAATGTCTCTAATAGTATATTCCAATATATCTGTGTCATGGTATTTTTTGTATGTAAATGATGTCATGAGTGAAAAACCTGAATGTTCATTAAAGTCCTATGCATAGGTAACTTTTTTAACCTCACAAAAACAAATGGCCAAGAAAACAATAACCACAAATTACAAAATAGTGTAAGACAGAAGTACACAGTTCTTCATTGTTTACTACGTATCTACTCCAAAACGAGTTCATCGGCTAATTCAGTCTTTGCACTAGTAAAAAACTGTAGTATTTTTTGATAAATTGAAGATAAAATTTTAAAAAATCAGGACAGATGTATATATCAACATTTTTATAAACTTTATTTATTTACTTAGAGTGCCTAGATTTCTTATTATATGAAGAATTTTATTCCTTAAAATAGCCTTTTATATTAAAAGGGTTTAGGGGATCTGAAGTTTTGTTGTTAAAACCATATGTAACATTTTACCTCTTTCAGTGTTGCTATATATTAGCCAAACTTCAGAATACCTCTTATTAACATATCAGGGTTAATATTCTTTCATGGATGACTTTAATTTCAGCAGATCCTCTCTACTAGGTTAGAAAATTCAGAATATGTGTGTGTGTATATATATATATGTATATATACACATATATGAATGACATGAACTCTTAAACACTTTCCATTTTAAAGCAGAATTAAATTATGAAGTGCTAAATCATGAAAATGTAACTGGGAAAAAAAGTTGTAAATATACATTTAAATTTTCTCCATGTTGGAAATCTTGTGTTGTAATAGTTCAAAAGCATGATTAAAAAAGGAATAAATTAAATCTTAACCTACGTCTGTTAATTTAATGACTGCATTTTTGTGACTGGTCCATGTGAGATGATTGTATTTTAACCCTTGTTTGTTAATAATGTGTTGTGGCCTTCTGCTTTGCATAATTCACATGTATGTTGTATTTTCACTCCTCGGTCAATACCTAAAATGTTTTAAGTCACTGAACAGTCATGTATTGTAATGAATGCCTCTTTTCTTTTGGTGGTGTTTTTCTTAAATAACAAATTGTTAATTTTTCATATTAAACATTTAATTGTTGAATAGTATATGTTTTCGTAATTTTACTGAGTATGTATGTAAGCTACTGCTATTTTTCTGATAATTCTGTTAGAAACTAACATTGGTGTTTAAAAATAAGGTTTATTATTCAGCTATCAACTTTTAAATACTAGAAATTTTAATTTTTTTCATATATTATAAACAATGAAGTAAAAATGTACAGTGTAAGCACAGTTATTTAGTAAGTTAAAAATACATGTGCTCATCCAAGAAAGCCTTTAAAAGGTGAGTAGAAGTTTTATTTTTCTTTTATATAGTAAAGGATGTTACATGTAACATAAATAATTCTAGCAACTGCTCTTTAAATAAATTTAATTTCTCTGTATTTTCTCATAAGTCTCATTAAGTGATTAATTTTCCTAGAATGTTTTTATTCCCTACATAAAATGAATTCCTGTTTGGTAAGAAAATAATGTGTATGCCCTTGTGTTCTGGGGTTAATGATGATCCAACAAAAGTAAAGAGAATATTTTTTCCACTGAAGATTGCTTTTTCTCCAAACATGAGAAAATTTTTTTTTAAATGAAATCTTGATACTTGAACTCTCTTGATTCTAGTGCTTTCCCCCAAAGTGTCCCTTTTTAAAATAATACCCTCTTTAGGGTTGTGTTAAAAAAATACATATATATATACATTTCTAAATCTCTAATACGATACAATGGAATGTGGCAAATAGAAGCACGTTCAGAAGTGAGCAAGGGTAGCCGCACACACTAGTAAATCTGCAGCCTGCCAATTCCACGGTTTTATGTAACGAAAGGAAATTGAGACTCTGAGCCGAGGGGCTGGGCGGCTCCTTAAACTCCAGCTCCCTCTCATGGCGGAGTGCACTTGGGAAGAAACTTGTCACTGGCTCCCCTGCTCCTCCGGCCAGCAGCAGCCAGGGCAATGAGGTAATGTGTGGGGAAAGGGTTTCAAGAAACTGTCAATTCTTTGTAAAATGGAGTGTTTGGTAAAACCATTCGTAGTAATTGGTAATTTTCTTCAAGTTTGGAAAAGGAACACGTAAGTATAGTTATAGGCTGGAATCTCTTTTATTTTAAATTATCATAGAAATCTTTAACCATTAGTAAGTATTGAAATAATGTTTCCATTTATTACATCATCATATCGTTCTATGGTACACTGCTTGATCTCCCCCAAATTATGAGCATCCCATAGGCGCTAGGCATGGTAGTCACAGAGGTGAATCAGGCACAGTCCCTGTGTACAAGGAGCTTGCAGTTTAGTGATGAATGTACTGAGCAAACAGATGACCCCAGGCAGACTGGGATTCCTATCTCATTTCAGTAGCAACTATGAGATTTATAACATTGAAGACTCATAATATTGGGGGCTCAATAGACTATAATTATCTAAGAATTAGTAATAAGGATTGTACTTGACAACATAATAATTCTTCCAGCAGATCCTTCTAGAAAGCCTAAACTAGTAGGATGTATTCCACTGTAACCTGGCAAGAGGTGAGTGGCGTCCTAAGCTTGTATGCTAGACCAATAGTTATTGTGCAATCTCAGCATCTTTCTTTTTTGTGTGCATAGATTCCATATATCACCAGAAAAGGAGAATGTGGACTGATGTATAGCTTCCTCTAGATACAATGCCTTGAAAATAATTTTGGAGACACAGATGGACCTGGCAGGTTTGAAATGTATGACCTAAGAAAAAATTTAAGGAGATAGACTAGTGATGAGATTGTAAAAGAAGAGACTTGTGAGTG